TAACCTAGGTTATACATATATATACCTAACCTAGTTATAACCAACGTTATAAGTCTGCTAACCTCTATAGAAGTTAGGTTTTACTTAGCTTGGACTTGGCTCAGCCTAGTAGAGTTAGTAAGTAGTTAGGTTTGACTTAGCTAAGTCAAAGTTAAGTGGGCTAAGACTTAGTTTGGACTTAGATTCGACTTAGCTCAGACTTATAAGTCCAAGCTAAGTCAAAGCTAAGTCGAGGCTCAAAAATTGAAGCAAAATCAACCCAAAATGCGTCGAACGCAGCCACCAACCGACAACCAGCCAGCATACGGCCGCGCCGTTATTCTTTGTTACATTCCGCGTCGTGGCCGCTTGTTGATTCTTCTACGGCATCCTATAGAGTACTTGGCGCAAATAGGATGCGTCAAGCAGTCGCATGATATAAAGTTTTGACATTGTCTTCATGCTGAAGTCTTTGAATCATTCACCCCAAAGACTTAAACATTATCACAATTCTATTTAGACAAGTTTAGAACTTGTCTTCATCTTCAATATTTTTGACAAATGTCAGAAAATATTCTGACATATATCAGAAACTGACAAATGTCAGAAACATATTCTCACAATTGTCAGAAAAATCTGACAAATGTCAGAAAATATTCAGACAATTGTCAGAAGATTCTGACAAAATCTGACAGTATATCCTTTTAAAAGAAAATGTAAACAACAATTTGTCAGAACAATATGACAATATTGCCTTTTAAAACTAAATCTAAGCTAACATTTGTCAGAAAATTCTGACACATGTCAGAAAATATTTGTGTAAATAGTAAATATTTCTGACATTTGTCAGAAAAATATTCTGGCCAATGTCAGAAAATTCTTACAGATGTCAGAATGACATTATTACATTGTTTAAAAGGTACATGTCAACAACAATTTGTCAGAAGACTTCTGACAATATATAAGTTTAGTTAAACGGTGATACACTAACTATGATGGTATTAACAGTGTAATTAACCCAAAACTATATTTTTCAATGTATTAAAAATAGTTTCAAATATGTGAGGCTGTTGATGCTCAGATGATGACTGTTGATGCTCGCGTGAGAGAAAAGTCTACCAGCGCACTCCCAGACCGAGCTTTCGGTTTTCAGTTTTCATTGTTATTTTTCAATAATTGCCTTAGACTTAGCTTTGACTTAGCTCAAACTGATCAAACAAACTAACACTTAGCTTCGACCTCGCTCGGACTTCTCAGTCTTAGCTAAGTCCAAGCTAAGTCCAGGCTAAGTCCAAGCTAAGTTACCCTGAGCTAAGTCCAAGCTAAGTACTTACTAAGTACTTATAAGTCCAAGTTAGACTTAGCTAAACTTAGCAAAGTCCCGCCGGCCAAGTATACCTTTGTGGCAGGTGTTTTATGCTGTGTGGGTCCTTGGCTTTTAAATTTATACTTGAATCATTTGCGGCTTGGCAATTTGCGAACCAGACAAACCCGGGGGAGGCTGGCTGTGCTCCCACTTGTGCTCCCTTGGTCCTTCATTGGTTCGCCAACATCTCCACGTGTCCGTGACCTTGGCCGCGATGGTCAAGGAGCGCCTGGAAAAGGTCTAAACGCCAAACGACCTCTCCATTGTCTTTTGAAGGTCTTGAACCAAAGATTTGGTTTCATTTGTCCATCCATACATTGGCATCTGTTCATCCTTCAAGTGGCTGTGCAGCTCAATTAATTTGTTTTCTGAGGTGACAATATCCTCAATGGGTATTAAGTTTATCACTAGAAACTGGCCATTTCAGAGATTTTACTGGGCGCCAATTTGAACACCCTCAGCGTGAAGTCATGAAGCGGGTGCTGGTGCAGGAACCGAAAATGCCCCTCATCTCTTGCGCGCCCGAGGGATGCAGAGCGTGGCAACATACTGGGGAGGTAAGATGTAAAAGTGTAAAGGAGATAAAAGGAATACGAATGAGTACTGTGCCAAAGAAACTAGAATATGAAGGCAGTTTTTTCTGGTCAACCCCCATTACTTTGAAAACATTTGAAAGCTAGTATTCTGAAACCCAACATGATGAAGAATGAAGATACACATGTGTAATCACGTAGATTCACAGTGATTGGCAATTGCATCATCAAGAATAGTCACAGTACTGTAAGCATGCTTTGTTTCGGGCGGTAAGGTGGCAACGATCCCTGGCGAAGGGCAAACAACCATTGCTTACCCCAGTTGATTCATAGAAATCTACCGATTTCCACTGGACACGGAGATGTTGCAATGTTCTGCAGATCTGCTCTCGGCCGTTTCAGTGCTAAGGAGTCGACGAAATCTTTTTTTGGCGATCACTGTAAAAGAGAAATTTGTTGAAGTTTGGTTCGAAGGGGGTAGAGGCTTACAACTTACAACTGTGTTCCTGCTCCTGACAGAAAAGCTAAAACCGAAACGCATTCATATGATCGTGGAATTCCTCGGAATTCGTGACTTCACGGTCCAAACGAAACATTTGACTGTGACTGTTCCGCCATAGCCATAGCCCAGACATATCCAGGCATGCTTTGTTGAGCTTGAAGCCACCACTTGCACAGACGCAGACAGAGCAAGCTGCTTTATCTGTCCGAACTTGACGCAACGTGAAGCGGAGGTAAAATCATTTGGCCGTGGAACCAGAGCGGCCAGTCATGGTGCTCAAGTCAGACTAACAAGAACAAATCTTGGTTATGAACGGAAGCTAATCTTGGGAAGCAATGAAAATCAAGTAAAATCGTGGCAAATTTTAACGACGTCACCGACGTCACCCTGAATTAACGACCTAGGTTTGAAATTAAGATCTTGCCCCTTCATCTTAAGTAAGATCGTCCCACTAGCAAGCTAAGCCTCTTTTGGCAGCCTGTTGCTTCAACGGAAAGCCCTCGCACACAAATCTAAAAGATTGATGCTTGTTAGAGCATACCCCCCTTCATTAAGCAACCGCCGTTTTCTCGCCGCGCGCGCAAGACACACAAACAAGCACATTGCTGGAAAGACGGGAAGCTTGCCAAGGCTGGGGGTTTGAGCCCGGCGTTCCGCTTCCGAGGGCACGTTTCTGACCGCTGGGCCGCTCACGCGGGGGTTCGCGAAGGGCCGAAAGCAAACAAGAATTGGCGGCGTTGGGTTTCAGAATGGTTGAGTGGTTCGGGGCCTTCTGGGCGCGTTTTCCCGGCTTACCGAGCCCCAGTAAGCAAGGAAACTGCGACGAGCAGCCCAAAAAGGCGGCCCCATCAAAAAACCCTATTTTGGCGAAATGGGGTTTTGCGACGGCTGGTTGGCGCAGGGCCTCCTAGACCCGTTTTCCCGGCTTACCGAGCCCCAGTAAGCAAGGAAATTGCGACGAGCAGCTGGAAAAGGGCCTCCTGGACCTGTTTTCCCGGTTTACCGAGCCCCAGTATAGGAAACCGCGACGAGCAGCTCGAAAAGGCAAAAACCTTCTTTTGGCGAAATAGGGTTCTGCGACGGTTGGTTGGTTCGAGGCCTCCTTGACGCCTATTCCCGGTTTACCGAGCCCCAGTTGAAAGCTCAAATACCGGATTTTGGAACCACCTCCAAAGCCAAACTCTTGTAACCCACACGACATGAGTGTAGGGTCAACACCCCCAAGCATTGGAGAGATCGAAAAGAGAATACGCAATGCTGTTCCCAGGCATCCAGTCCACTGCCTGCAGCCGGATCTCTCCCGTACAGAAGATTCAAACAGCGGCCTCGCCATGCAGGTGCTCACCGCAACGGTCACCCCAACCAAGCCACGTCCACAACTGGGTGCGTTGGGCTGCTAGGTCTTCCCGAGGTCACTTAATTTCATATTTCCAACGACGTCACATAATTTCGTTTCCGATTTAACGAAAATAACCGACGACCCAATAATTTTTTTAATGTCACTGTAAACACGGTGAGAATGACGTCAGGAGAGGCCCGGGGTATTTCGAAGCTATAAAGCACAACACCAACAGATTTCGCGCCTGACGCTGCCGCCAACTTCTAAACCTGGAAACGGCACCCGGTCGCAAGGGCCATTTCGATTCAAGGATATAATCACGCAACGTCAATGGGGAACGCGGCCTGACGCGGGGAATGTGGCGTCAATAGCCGGCGTCAGGGAGGTATGCGGCGTCAGACAGGAACGCGGCGTCATGGAATGCGGCGTCAATAGGCGGCGTCAGGGAGGTATGCGGCGTCAGACAGGAACGCGGCGTCAAGGAATGCAGCGTCAATAGGCGGCGTCAGGGGGTATGCGACGTCAGACCGGAACGCGGCATCAGGGAATGCGGCGTCAATAGGCTGCGTCAGGGGGGTATGTGGCGCGGAATGCGGCGTCAATAGCCGGCGTCAGGGGGGTATGCGCTGTCAGACCAGGAAGCGGCGTCAGGGAATGCGGCGTCGCTAGGCGGCGTCAGGCGGGGAGGCGGCATCAGTGGGGAAAGGAGCGTCAGGGAATGCGGCGCCAACGAGTTCCCAACACGGCGGCAATAAACGGAGGCAGCGTCAGGCGCAAAAGCGCCCCCGCATGGGCGGCCGCCCTGGCAAGATAGACATTTTCTTCGATGGCAGAACAAATGTCGGGATACATGTCAGAGCACATGCCAGGACCGAAATCGGACCATATGTCACAGGACATGTCAGACTTCACTGCAAGGGAAAGTGTCAGAACACATGGCAACAAGGAAAAACAAGGACGTCAGGACACATTCCAGAACATTTCGCAGCCTTGATGGATGAGGCGTCAGAGCACAAACCAGACTTGATGCCAGAACAAGCGTCAGAACATTTTAACACTCCGCAGGTCCGCCTTTGTCAGGCTTGTTTGTCAATACATGTGCTTTGCCTTCTTCAAAATCGCCTTTTAGGAAACATACGGGATCTTTCTGTATGGCTTTGAAGCACAGGGAAACCTTGATGTCTGTTTTGTCAAGAACAAAGTTTTTGAAACCCCGCAAAGGTGGGTCCTGGGGCGGAACTGGAGAGATCTCCCACACCGAGACCAATACACGTCGGCCAGGTTTGTGAAGCCGCCAACCTTGAAGGACCAGACCCAGAGCCGGTGAAGACATGGATGTGGCGTGTTTTTCCGTGGCTGTGGTTTACAGACCCTCCCAGGTGGCTCGTGGTTGGTGATTTACAGGTGATGAAACGTTCTCTTCAAGCACCTTCCCCCTGTTCAGTTTGTTTTTTTTGGGGTGGGGAGGGGCCGCACAACAGAACACCGCTGAACTTTCATGCAATGGCCAAACCCTGGCGGTCGGCACCTAAGTCGTCCACCAAGTGACACGTCGCACGTCGCGGTGGGTTGACTTGGCGTGTTCCGTTTCGTCGCTGGGCAGAGGACTAGAAGAGTTGGTTACGATCTGCTGGGGTGCATGGGTCATCAGTGATTCTGTTCCAATCAGTAGGGAGACCCTCTAAGCAGTGGGTGTTCGTCTATGATCCCTTTACATCCCTAAATAGGGTTCAATTTGTACACACCCGTCTCAGAATCGCTTCCACCTCAGGATGGGTGAACTGATTACTGCAGTTCAGGAGCAGCTGGCCGAGGTGGGGAAGATGATTTTCTTTACGAACGTCCCGAAGCTGGTCACTTGGCTCGGGTGCCGCGGGGGAGGTCAGACCATCGGTAGGACGAGGCTCCTCCCGTGCGTTTCCATGCCATGCAAGGAGAGGCTGCTCCCACATCATTAGTAGATATTAGTAGGACAACAATGGACAACATCATTAGTTAATGTGGAGCAACTGCCAATGAGTCTAAGTTTGACACCCATTTTAGTATGGCGATTCTTTGCACTTCTGGATCTCAGGCGATGTGCTTGCCGCAGCACGAAGACTACATCTTCCACTCAAACCTGACCGGGTGCAGCTGCTTGGATGCACGGATACACGTGGGTCAAAGCCCAGGGGCCCAGAGCCATGGGAGGAACCACCGTGGCAAAGTGAGACCAGTGCTCAGCCGATCTTGGCTTGTTTTGAGCTCTTTGGGGGGAGGGAGGGACAAGCGAGTATAACTGACCTTTTCTGCTCTTTGCCCCTCTCGGAAGGCGTGTTTTTGTCGTTTGGTTTATCCGGTTTTGCACATCTGCGCACCATGGGCGCCATGGGCCCCTTTATAACGCTTACATTCTGATTGCAAACACTCATATATCGCTGCAGCAGCGAAAAGCACTATAATATATATATATATGTCTCTTCTTTCAAAGGTTCGCGCACATCGAACGAAGGTGCGGTAACACAGGCGGAGAATGCAAGTCATGCGATGTGAACACATGATGCAAAAAACACGTTCAGTGCCGTTTGAGACCGCTCTTCTTGCTGGTTCGATTTGGATCAACGACCGGCCGGTCCTGAGGTGGTCATCGACGACTTCCGATCGATTTGATGTATTCGATACTTTTAAAAACTGTGGAAAGGGCGACCGTTTCCCCATCTTCGACCGTAGGTGAATGCTAGTTGCAGCTCTTCGAGCTCGGTGGTGGGGCATACAACCCAAAACCATCCATGTTTTTAAGTCAATATGACCACCAAACCACCATCCCAAACCACCAAGACGAACAAGCGATGTATGTTTGCCTCTACATGGTTCATCTGACATCCAAAACATCCAGAGTGGCAGGGTGGCATCGACTGTCATAGACTGTACCGAACTGTCATCCAACTCCTTCAATTTCACGGTCCTTTCGTAGAACTCCGTCCTCGTTCTCTTTCATCGAACTGCACGCGACCGCGACGTTCGTCTTCAGGTTCACCGTCCGACTTTGGGAGTTCACCACGACATGTCGGGACCTGACCGGGAGTCTCCCTTGGTCAAGCTTCTTGTTACTACTAGTAACAAGTGCCACGCTAGTAGTAACAAGTGCCTGACTAGTAGTAACAAAAAGCTACAGGGACACAAAGACTTCTCACTCAGAACACCGTGTGAACACATGCGCGCCACACCGGGGATCGGATCCCCGCTCATGTCTAAGTGGAAGGCCAGTGACGACTCGTTGGTTGCATGGGACGGCGGCCTCGTGGTGGATTTCGTTCCCTATGGATGTGAGACGCCGAGCCCGCGTCGAAGCGTCGACTGTGGGTTCGACCGGAAGACCAAAGGGGGGAACATGCCTGGGTCGTCATGCTGATGATGTTACAAAGTGACTTAAGGCTACAGCGCCCAACAATGCGCTGCCTGCCACAACTTCCTGGAAGGTAAGTTGAAGGCTCGGGCTTTGACATCTCTTCCTCTAAGGACTTTCGCAAGGAGTATGTAACCATGCCACACCAGGGTGGTACCGTGTCGAAGACTTGGCCCCACCTAATTAGGCGGTGACTACGAGAGTGGTAACCTGAAATCATCATGGGCCAACGTGGATGGCATGGCCCCTTTTGGCTGACCATGAAATCCGAATACCAAACAGGTGGTTTCCCTCTACTTTCCCATGATTCATTGAGACGGAGAGTACGTGCGTGTTCGGGTGTTGGCAGTGCCATCTCGAGATCCAGCCATGCCATCTTCAAGAGCCAGCCATGTTGCCTCCGAAATCCAAGGAATCCAGAACAGGACGGATGCCGATCGTGCGTAGTGATTGATCACTAAGAAACCATGGAGGACCTTTACTGAGCGTCATCAAGGTTTAGGGGAGTATCCTTGGATAGAGACATTCACGCCGCCTCTCCCACAGATGGGCGGTGTCTTTATTTTTTGAATTTGTAAATGAAACACGCCGGAGACCAAAAATCATACAAAGCAACTTATGAAAGCAAACATTAAAGAAATCCTGGCTGGAAATCATACAAAAATCTGCAAAGTCCTAAACACCATTAATCGCTTGCTTTTTTACAGTTCTTTCGTTTAATGCTGTACAATTGTTATTTATTATTTTCCTACGTCCGGTCCTGACCGGCCACAAGGGAATCTGCTTTTAAACAGTGTGGTCTGCCAGTGAAAGATAGCATCAAGATGCCAAAAGGCAGCTTTTGCACGATGCTGCCCCCTAAATCTGCAAACGCGCCTCATGTTCACATGTCCAAAGTTCATGATTCACTGCACCTGCCACGAAATCAGAGCACGCCAAAGACCACCACCATGTCCAAAGCGCTGCACCTGCCACGAAGTCTGCACATCGAAGTAAAACGGCTCCGATCTCCTGCACCTGGCACGAAAAGCCGACTTGGCGCATGGGCCCAGCAGTTTCAGCGAGCCTGCGCAGTTGAAATGCACTTCCATGATCTCGAGAGGCTTGAATGTGCCGCAAACAGCAGCGAAGGATGCCGTGCTGCGCGATGTGGTGTCGGAAGGCGCCGGAGCAGAGCACCCCAACTCAAACGGGGGTGCTCCATGACTTCGAGGATCAAGTTGCAATGTAGCTTGGAGTCTCCTCGTCATCTTCAGTTGTTTTGCTATCATCCTTGCCCTTGAGATGTCGAAGGATCAGGCACGAATGAAGGTACGCTAGGAGCAGGCTACAGCCGATGGAGACAAGCAGAGAAGATGAGATTTTGAGCGATTTCGCGAGCTACGACTCAGCTACGACTGGAAGAAGTTGCTGGATTGTGGCAAGGCCTTGACAAAGGGCTTGAAAACCATGCCACCGCCTGGTCAGAAGACCCACATACATGCATTTCTCCAGGGCTCGTCAGAGAATGATCTCTGCGACATATTTGTGTGGAGTCAGTGCCAACGAGCTCATCACTCCGGCGTACCTGCACTCCAATTTTTTGTGTGGTGTTTATCAGGCTGTGACTCCAATTTTCCCGTAACGTGCAAACCAGAGTGTTCAACATTTCTGTTTCTCAGACATATCGCCTTTCTGCTTCACCCAAAGTCTAGTTCAAAACGGACGTTTGCTCTTGCGAACCATCTATATATTATATCTAAGTGTGTCTGTTGAGCGCTCTCATTTGCATGCTCTCATTGCGCTTTCATACGCGTGCTCCCTTATGTGTGCTCTCATTCGTGCGCCCTCACCAGTGCTCTCACGTGTGTGTTCTGATATGTGCGCTCTCATCGGTATGCTCTGTGTGTGCCCTGATCTGGAGCGTGGAATTTGGTTTATTCACCATTGCCTTCTTCTACCCCTGCGTTTGTTTTGATGGTATGTTTGATTCTTAGACCTTCTTTTAACGGGGATGTCTCTTTCTGGTTGGCCATGTGACTGAACACATCGGATTTGAAGAATCGTCCGCTTGGCGGCTTCAGGGCCGGGACTCGAAAATCCGTTGAGAAAGTGCAGGACGGTCGTTTTTTTTTTTTTTTTAAATGCGTTTTATCCACGCTCGTCACCTGCCATTCAGGGCTTGGAACCTTGTGCAGTGGCTGAGACGTTTCTTGGTTGTTTGGAGAGCACGGAATGGCCGCGTTTGCTGCAAACGTCAGACCGGTATGGGTTTCAGGGGTAACTGGTCAAACACCAAGCCAGATCAAAACCACTCCCATCCCAGCAGTTGGTTTCAGAAAGTAAAGAACCCTTCTGGACGACACTTCTGGACGACCATCTTCTTGGTGCACGAGGTTTCGGGCACACCTTCTGGCAGGAGGAAGAAGAGGTTTCGGGCGATGGGAAGCGAAGTTGGCCTTTTTCCTTCCTCCTTGGATACTCGTGATGGGCTGCCCGGGTTCCGGTATGGCGACCGGTGGCGTTTATTTTGAAGCTTCATTTCAAGACACCTATCGGCGTGGGAGTAGAAGCAATCTCCCTGACCTCGCAAGATTGGATGGGACAATGGTTGAAAATGGTCAATCGCATGGTCAATCGGGAAGACAACTCCAGGTGCTTTTCACTTTTCGGTCCATTTTCTTTCGTTCCATCTCCTTTTTAGAGGCCTTTTTCTTCGACGCTTCTCAGACACGTTGGACGTCGCACGTTTTGGACGTCGGATCGGAACCGGTCCAACAAGGCGGTCTGCAACGAGGTCAAGGACATGCAAACCATGTGGTTTTCCTTATCCTAGAGTGTGCTACATGCCTTTGAGACATAATTACACTGCAAGCCCAACTGGGGCTCATGTAGCACGAAAACCAGGCTCATGTAGCCTGTTCTTCTGCTGTGTTTTTGCTGATGCCATGCCAAGGTCTCAAAGTCGTGCTCGTTGTGAGCTCTTGATGAATGAGATGCAAGAGGACACAGCGGTATCTGCGCCGGCTTGGGGAGAAGGGAGTGGTTCATCGCACTTTTTCGCGCGATTGGTAGTGCGCCTGTTTTCTGCGCGACGCTCGTGTCGCGACACATGGTATCCAAACCTCCACGAGCATCCACAACAGGAAGATTTGGTGCGTGTCCCATGACTGTAACAGTCAAACAGATGATCGCCATTTTGGAGATGTCGGCGAAAAAGAACCCAGTTCGACCCCTGGAAAATCGAAGAGTCCTACCCATTTGGTTGGTCTGCCTATTGCAATTCAAGCCCGTTGATGTGCATTCCAGTCACCGCTGGGAAAACTAATGAGTTGGCTTGGTAGTAGCTTGCATTTTCTTTGCTTTTGATGGACTTCCCACATTTCTTTTGAGACGTGACCAATGATCCATGGGTTCTTTTGAGACGTGACCAATGATCCATGGGTGTTCATGGTTTTAACATGTCTAAACCATGGGTCCATCCATGTAACCATGAGGACCTTGGGAGAGAGTGTTTGTTGGAGTGCGCACCCAGCTGCGAAAATGCGCCTGTTTGCAAACACTTAGAAGACATGATAAGCCACAACATGGAACTTCTTGCCGCCAAGTCCTTTGTTTTTGATATGTTCTGTCCACTCCAGGATTCGGTTTTGGATATGATTCTTGTCATTTAGAACGACCATCTCTCCGGCTCTTGACGTTCAACAGGAGAAAGCGGATGGTGAGCGGATTGTGGATACGATCAGTAAGAGTTGGCGCAGCCGAAGCGATGCTCCTTTGGTGGCAAGCAGCTACAAATGTCAAGACCTGTTGTTGCCAGGGGAAGCCTTCTTTCAAAGTCTATTGGTGTTTGTCTTCGTCGGGAACTTGTCTTGAGGGTACATTCTCACACATTCTCACTGTACCGTTTTGCTTGAAGCTATTTCGTGGTTAGTAAAAAGTTGTACTTGACTTGATGCGGACACCCTCTTTGATGGAGAATCTGAATATTTGGCAAATTGGGCTTGTTCCACTTAGAACGTCTTTTTAAATGTCTCTCATGAGCATCCGACAAAACATCCTCATTATATATATATATACACATGTACTTTATAAGCCGCCTTAAGTATTTCTGAACTGATCAAACACTTGCAAAACCGGTACGGGTCAAGCCTATACGGATACCCTTTCTGGATTGAAAGTAGCTCATTGGCATTCCAAAAGACTGGACACCGATAAGGGGCCAACCAAAATACTTTTGGCGTTGGGGACACGAAGAAGTTTTGCCCGCCACTCTAATATGGCTGATGTCCAGTCGAAGCTGCATGAAGATGCTGATTTGATTTCAGGCTTGGTCTCTTTCTTGGAGTAAATCAATCAAAGAACCAGACTCTGTTAAGGCAGGCATCTTCAAGATTCACTCTCTCCGTGCTACCCATTGAGCAAGAAGACAAAGACGGGATCCACGCAATGCGAGACATTGCACGAGTGGTACAGAATAGGTGGACAAAGCGTATTGGCTCGCTTCTATCTACCTATCTACAATCTACCTATCTACCTATCTACCTATCTATCTATCAATCAATCAATCAATCAATCGATCTATCTAGATAATTGTTTTTCTTGGACATGCGCAAGGAATACTTAATCGTGACCTCTTGCCCTGATTTACAAGTTGCAGATATAAAATGGTTCGTATCAGAGTAGAGGGACACAACACCACCTTTGGCATTTGGTTTTCATCGTAGATGAGAATCCTAAACAGCTCTTGCGGCAAGAAACCCCACGTTTTTCTTTCCACAACTCCCCTGTTCACGAGCCCTGTTCATTGAACCCATGGTGTTCCCAATCCCCGCAATTCATGGGGCCCAGACTCCATGAGACTGGCAGACTTTGCTCCACTCGGGTAGATTTGGTTTCAGGGCTCTCCATGCACCGCCTCAAAGCTCCACCTGTGGTGATGAACAAGGGGTCGTCGGAGAAAACCGAAAACCGGTGCACCACTAGGGGGAGAAGGTCCGGAGCCGGTTCCCACACCCTTCTCATTTGAAGGCCCGGATTCTTAGGGTAGGCACTCCATCAGACTGGCATAGGACTGCCGAGAAACGGCCAGGGGTGGTGCCAGGGGGGTCAATGCAGGCATACAAATCAGTCCCATGGAGTGTGGGCTAGGGTACTTACCGGGCACGGAACTTTTCTTCACCGTTCGGAGCGAGAGTCGCTTCGCGACAAGCATTTGTTACACTGTTACACAAAAAGCACCGGCCAAGGGCATTGAGCCCTGAACCTAGATGTAGAATGATGTAGAGCACCTGAGAAAAGGAGTCCTTCATCCATTTTCGCGCCTGTTAGGAATGAACTCCAGAGTCATGTTTGTTGATTTCCACAAAACCGTGTAAAGCGATAGGCCCCTCCAAGAAAAGATACCCTTTCACTCACCTGCTTGGGTTCAGCCACCAATGGTCCCGTATTAGGAAGACGAGACCTTCGTTCGCCACCACGGCGTTGCTCCCCTCCGGGGTGCTGGTGGGGGGGTGGGGGCGCGGGCGCACCTCGTGCTCTTCGGATCGAGGATTTGACGATGCCCTTGGCTTGGCAACTGGGGTGCCAGGACCGACCCGAATTCCGGACGCCTTCCGACGCCGACTCGCTTGGGTTGGGGCAACTGGGTCCCAGGTGGCACGGCGTGAACCGGTGGTGCCAGGTCCGAACCTGGCTCCAAGAGTCTCAGGGCGTCTTTTTTTCCGAACCCGTCAAGGGGGGGGTTCGGGCTTGGACTTCGGTGTTGTTTGGCTGATTGGCGGTTGAATACACACATCAAGATGATTTGAAAAGAAATGGTTGAGAGTGTTGTTCGAAACCAAGCCTTTCAAAAGAAGAAAGCACTTATTGAGATGGAGTCTTGAGCTCGCGGAAATCGGGGGAGACAGTCAAAAAACCCGTGTTTCCTTTGTTCCACCAGCATTTCCAATGTCCAGTTCCTCTGAAGAAGCTTAGCAGGCGGCTTCGACATCCCCTGAAGTCTTTGTCTTTGGCTCTTCCAGGCCGTTTGAGCTCGTGAAGCGGTGGGTCCCAACCAGAGCGGTTCCCCCAACCAGGACGGTCCCTCGGACCCCGGTTGCGTCCCAGTGGTCCCAGCAACACCTCCGCCGCTTCCTCGAGCGACACCGCGCTGCTTCAGGACTTGGGCTGCTGTCCCTTAGATCCCGAGGCGGCCAAGGTCATGAGCGACGAGGTGGGGGGACGATCGGCTGAACCGACGGAAAACGACAGACGACACTCCGGGTTGGAGAGGTCGGCCGGCGCATTGGAGTTGTTCCTTTTCCTTGCTGCGTCAACTGTGCGTGCATGTTACTGGACATATTTGATCATGTTTGCATACATGTATATAATTGTGCATAATATATATATATATATTATATACATACATATCATTTGTAAGCATGTGCAGCTATGAGCTGCAAAGTCAAGAGCCGACTTTCTGAAAGCTTTTTTTGACAGCATGATCATGGTCATCCTTTTTGGCCTGTGCAGCGCATGAAGGGTCCGGTCTGTGCATCATGCACACAGAAGGCACCACAGGGTCCGGGTGACACACAGACCTGCCACTTGGCAGCCACCTGCCGTTCGTTCGCGGGAGGCAAAGCGATCATTGGCCTTGGAGAAGTTCCAGGATGAACGGAAGCCTCCTGGAAAGCAGTCGACTTTCGACCTGCAAACCATTGGACACCTGTACCCCTTGGGGGGGTCAGGTTACCAGCCTTGGAATACATCCTCTTAATCTCCATCGGGAATCCAATCAACATGGGTGCCAGAGCGAGAATGGACAAGACGAAGTTGATCAGCATGTTGCAAAATCACAGCCAGGGTGAGTATCGTGAAGCTTTAGCTATTAGCAGAAGGCTCATGCACTCATAAATCGATCATTTTGCATGGGGATCAGTGGGGTGGAAGTCTTACTGGACAAATAGGCTCCTAGAAGGTGAGTCTTCTTTATGAACTTGATATACAGTATCAGTGGGAGGGTGACCATGTTTCCTGTTTTCTTTTTTCGGCCAGGATTTGCATCAATATTTCTTGGAGATGGTCAGCAACATGCACTGCTGAGACCGTTCTGCTTGTAGGGCTTCTAGCTGGTTCAGTGGACGCCCATTTTAAGGATTCGTATTGCACTTTATGAATCAGTGTTGGTGAAGATGTTTTGGGTAGCATCGTGTAGCATCCAATTTTGCTTGGCACCAGACACATCCCAAGTATTTGGTTTGAGGGGCGCAGTCAATGTTCATCCCGTAGAATCGTGGAACTAGAAATGAACGGCAAATCAAAGGCCGGATGACATAACAACCGGGACATTCGTAGTTTTGCTCACAAGCACGCTTAAACAACTGATATTTGTCTGTGTTCTTTTCCGAACTGGCAGCCAGGGTGATAAAATCATCAGGAATTCTTTTCTGGTGGATGACGCCCTCCGTTTCACTCCACTGGTTGGGTCCTCTTGTGTCATCACGCCATCACTTTCGGAAATTAATTAAACCTGAATGGCAGGAGGCTCACACAATGGAAGATCAACCAGGTGCGGCATCGATCCCCCGCCAAACACGAAGGTTTCCCTTGAGCCCCCCCGGACGATCGCAGGGTCGCATCTGCCGAGGTCGGAGCGTGTGGGAGAGCTCACCGGTGTGGCAGTGCCTTTGTGTTGACACCAGACACTTTTCAACGGGACTGGAACATGTGCGCTTTTGGACATACCCCCAATGTATGAACATGTGGGGACTGGCATCTTCAAGGTACCTGGAAATATAGAAATACCTTCATACATGCGGATGGGTCGTGAAAGTGTACGCGCCCTCCATGGTCGTCCACCATGACCGCCAACGGACGACCAGGTGTTTTTCACCCCGGTCGGTCTGCCATGACCCACATGGGGCGTGTGTCTCCATTAACATACACATCCCAGGACCGACACCAAGAGGTGTTTGTAAATAGCCTCTTGGAGGTTTAGGAGGTGTCCAAGAACCACCGGAGCTTGGTTTCGGTCCTGGTCCAGCCCACCTGGTGATGGACCCGGTCCATAGCCGCCGGCGGTGTCCATGTCGCGGAGCCGAGCAGCCGGGTGTGTCGGTTGCTGCTAGTCAGCTGTGCAGATAGCCGGTTGCCTGTGCAGCAAGAGTTCTTACACCCGGAAAGATTCACATGGAAGAAAATGAACCTTCCTGGAAGACTCTTTTCTACAACCCGACGTGGTTTTCAGGTTTTCAGGTGTCATCTTCCAGGGCATATTTGTTCCTTGGCTTCCTGGACGGCGAATCAAAAGGGGCTAAGAAAGGAGACCAGGGCGAAGAGGGCGAAGCCTTAGCTTCTCAAGCCAAAGCTTCGAGAGGTGACGGTGACGGGTTTTTCGTGCCGTTGTTTGGTGCACGTGAAAGAGTTCGAGTTGGAGGTTTATCAGAGTTTCAGAAAGGTTCGGCTTCTTAGCCCAGAAATGATAAATATTATGTGCCAAGTTCCGGCCTTCCTAAACAGATTTTACACCTGTTCAGGCGTACAGGCAACATGGAGCCAAACAGGCCAATCTGCCAGATGGCGAATGTCCTGCTCTTGGGAAATGTCAATCATTTCATGACACATGCCTTGTCATGTTCGGCAACATTCTTTCAACAGTGCTTTCCTTTTGACAAGTTCTTTGTGCCATGTTCATCCCGTGTGTATGCGAAGTGTTTACAGCATTGTAATGTAATGTGTTTACTGTAATGTTTTCGTGTGAAGGATGGTTCTCAACACTTCGTGAGAGCTAAAGGTGGAATTTCTATGGAATTTCCGTATATATACAGAAACACCTGGTGTGTTTTGGGTGCTCAGGTGGTGCCGTGATACTCAAATAGATAGAAACGGATTCGAACACATTTGTAGTGGGTATCTACTTGTCTATCTATCTGGGGGTCAAAATAAGGGCGGGGCTATGGAACCCAACATAGCAATAGTCAGCTGTAAATCTACCACTAGCGACCGTCGCCGCCCGCACAAACCATGGTTGTTCTTTCTGCTTCCGCTGGAAGTGAAGAACGAACGAACGAACGAAATCGGCTGGAGGCGATCAGCCTGATCGGCCGATAGGCCAAAAGAAACATGAACTTGGCAGTGAACGATCAAATGGTCTAGATTTATTGCCAATCAACTTGACAGCGGTCTTGGTTTGATTCATACTGCTGTCTACAATTTTGCAGACACTCCATGCCGCCCCACCATTGAAGTCAACCGCTCCAATGTAGTTACATAACATACGATCTACACCTAGCTCATCGAAGTGACCGAAATTGATCCCCTGCTTTGAACAAACAGACCTGGAAACGATCAACAGTAGCACAGCACATAATAGTGAAAAATGTGTTTGTCGTAAAAGACTCCGTGGTGGTTGTGCAATTTGGAAGTTTGGCGGTTCACTTGATATGAGCTACTGCAAAGAGTATGTGCCGATAGTTTACGGGTTTCGATCTACCTTGCCTTTCTTTGACCGTCTCCCTATTTCAATACACCGCCAGTTTGGTACACGTCTCTACTACCCACAAGACGCATCAGTAGCAGGCACAAGTCGTTGATTTCTTTTTTCTCGTTCAAGTGCTCCTTCGTTAGATTCATCCTGTATCGCCGGTGGTCGACAGTCATGTTCGTGTGATTCATACTGCTGTCTGATGGCCCATACTCTCCCTTCTTCCCTCGTATTCCCTGGTAGTTCTGGCCGCTACTACTTGGAATGGCCGCTCCATCGGAGCGGTGTCTGTGCCTACAGTGTCGTGCCTACGGAGTCTTCCGGCGTGCTCCTAAACGCGCTGAGCGGAATGGTTGCAGACATTTGGCGATGTTATGGTTCAAAAGTAGGACATATGTACTTGCCAATCTCCTTTTGGTTGTTTTGGTGGGTCCTGCACAGCTACCTTGCATGTTTGACAGGGATGCTTAGCATTTTTCATTCTGCATCCAGCAGATATACTGTATATATATATAATATGCCATAGTATAATATATCCATAACATATACATATCCTAAAAAGACACACCGCGTTGCTGCGACCGAGGACGCCATTCTCAATGATCCGGATGCTCGCTTCAAGTTGGAAAGCGTCTTGAAGATGAAGGCCACTTGGAGCCTCAACAGGATCATTCCACAGACGGGCGAAGAACATGCAAAAAACAAGGAACCCACGAACCCGACTGCACTGCATACACCCATTCAAAAGCAAACGGCCAAACATTGTTTGACACTGTTGTGGGATGCTCTTTTAGGACACTCTTGTAGGGCACGCTCTTGTGGGACAGTTTCGTGGGAGCTTGCTGAAACCTGCCAAAGCGAGCATTTTGGACGGGTCTCCTCCAAAAGTCACACGTCGAGTCTCCAAAGCGAGCGTTTCGCACGAGACGCCCTCCACAAGTCAGGCGCCACGGCTCCAAAAACGAGTGTTTTGTACGAGACTTGCTCCAAAAGTCATGCATCAAGTCTCCCAAACAATCCAAGGCGAGCATTTCGTACGAGACACCCTCCAAAAGTGAATCGGGGAGTCTTATCAGAGAGAACACATCAAGCAGCCCTGCCACGCAGTTTCGCAATTCCAGCTCCTGAAAACCGCAGCCGCCAATCCAAATGGCACAGCGACATCCGTCTCCGCTAAACGCAGAAAACCCTCACGATTCCCTGTGCCTGCCACGAAAAGTTCTCACACACCGGATCTTCAGCAAGTCCTCTGCACCACAGAGACGCTCCAAACAGCCCTTGGGTCCCTCCATACGAGGGTCCGACCCCTGCATAGGTTCTGGTCCCGGGTCGCGTCTGCACCACACCACCACGCGCACATCGACACTTTCGGAGCGCGCGAAAGCATCCACCACAGCTTCCTTCGCTTCTTTCGGCCAGTGTCTCGCACAGCGGAACCCGCACCGCACAGTCGGATCACTGGTCTCTGCGAGGAAAGAAGCCAATCCCGGCACAGTGAAGGAAACGGATCTAGCAAAGCGCTGCACCATCCCACACTTCCACATGTTACATGTCTACTTCACACGAATCGGACACTTCCGGCTTGTATCCACCAACCTTCTCCAAGAGCTTTCCGCAACCGGAGGGCCTTGTCGATCACATTCTGACGGTTGCGAACGGTTGGGAACACGAAAGCAAGGTCACGCAAACATACGCGAACAACGTTGAGCGAGAACCCTTCGCTACGCATTCGGGAAAACACGTGAGAGCTGGGTTGATCGAGCTTCGCAACACGAGGGATGACAGTTGGACGAAGGTGAGCGTTTGTTTGAAGTGCCCTCACACTATGTATGTTATTTGCCTACATTATGGAGTGTTTGTGTTCTGGTTGTTGACCAAAAACGAGAAACATAGGGAACAGTCTTCTTGTGAAGGTCCCTTCTCAAAGACTTCCTGTGTTCAGAGCCGAGACTTGTGGGCCACTGGGCTTGGCTTTGGGATTTTTGTTCAGTACTACACCGGCCAATCTACACTAACCCAATGGTGAAGCATCTGTCAGTAGCCCACATGACTGCCTTCGGGAACCTGAATGATCACCCATTGACATCTTCAGGTCTCTAGTGTCTCTAGTCTTTTCTTGGAAACCGGTCTCGACCTTCCAACACCCCGAGGTGCGCCACAAGAAGGACGAGGTCCAGGTCTTGAACGAGGAGACCTGTGTGTGTGTGTGTGTGTTTTTTTGGTCAGTTTGGGTTCAAAGACCCAGCTGCTCTTTGTGAGCCCCTAAGACCTGTCCCGAGGCCTCGCCGGCTCGCCTCCGCGGTCGGATCGTCCGCATGATCGGACCGCCGCTGAAGGAAGAAGGCTGGTGGTACTGGTAGTGATCGAAGGCGCCTGCACTTTCCCACAACAATGTCGAGGTTGAGTCACAAGAGGAGGAGTCCACAGGAGCTGGAGCTGGAGGGCATGATGCATGAGTTGGAATGGAATGAGCTGGATGTCCCGATGTGAGGACTTGCTCAACGACATCTCCCAAATCAAGGCCAATGGCTGGGGTTGGGAATGCTGCCGAGAGAAGAGAACAAGGGAAGAACCACAAAACCACTTCATCCCGTGAAAAGAACCCTTTGTTAGGCCCGCTGGTGGCCCCCCCAAATCAGATGACCACATTGGCACATGATGAACATCGCTGCTCAACTTGGGATCCAGGCAATTTGGAGAACATGCCAAGGTCATCCGCGTGAAAACTCACTTGATCTCAAGGTTGAGGACTACAAGTGCTGGGTGGGATCCTGAAGCTCGTTTAGCTCGCACCTTGAGAGCGGGTATCCTGGCCATTGCCGGCGCCAGAATTACAGTATCAAAACATGAAACCCTCGAAAGATGGCTGAAACATGGTTTTTCTTTTCTTCGACTGTGAATGTCAACATTTTCTACATGTGTTTCTTTTTCTCTTCGCCATAACCGCCATAACCGGGTTCACATCACATGAACCGCGGCCCTGGATTCGTCGGTCTTGGGGAGACCGTGAAGCGAAGCGGTTCTACCAGATCCAGTCGTGAGACGTGAGAAGCAACAACACAAGTTGACCCAAACAGTGACAGATGGGTTCATTGTGTTTTCTACATGTTTTAGTAGGATTTAGTAGGCACTCGAGTGTTCTTGACACGAAAGCCACTTTCAAGAGGCTCATACTCAAGCGCGCAGCGCGCGTGTCAGTTTTTGTGCAGCTTCTTGGGTGGCAGTTCACTCCCTAAGGGTCCCACATAGAGACATTCTCTGCCGCAAGATGCCACAACCATGCCATGCCGGGGCCCAAAGTGAGAGAACGTCCCAAAATACATCCAAAAAGATCGAACCACTCTGAATCTTCAAGTGACTCAGGGTTCCACCCACCTGCAGGTTTAACGTGCGTTTCACGTTCGCACCTTGCCAGGTGCCTAAATCCAACAAAGATTGCAGGCACAAAATGGCGATGGTCGACCGTCCATGTCTCGTGCGACGAAGACGAAGTGCCGGGAGCATTTGGAAAGACAGTTCTTTCTGCGATGGAAAGATCCAGACGTCGACCCTTGCTGGTTTTGGTCATTCGTTGGGGGTTTCGATCCTGACTTCCATCGCGAGACGCTGGTTTTTGGCAAGACCGCTGTAACACATCTCAGCAATGGTTTTGATACTTGACAGGAACACTTTGGGATTTGACTGGAGCATTTTCTGTGGTTTTCACCACTGCCAGTAGAAGTTTTTAGGCGACCTTTTGACATTCCCGCCTTTTTTTTTTCTCTACTATGAAAGGCCGGTCCTATCACCAGGTTAGGCGCTGTCAGCACATATCGCCGGGGCCTTTCGATTTGGGGGGTAGCCTGTGCAGAAAGCTGTCCACGGGGTCCACAACTTTTCAGGGTGTTCAATGGGCAGATTTTGTTTTTTCCATCTGCAGGAGTTCGGTTTTTTCCCGAAAGCATTGCGAAGGGTTCTTCCGGAAAATCCCTTGAACACTGACACTTCGACACTTACACTTACACACTGACACTTCCACACTTGCACTTGAACACTGACATTTCTACACTTACACTTGAACACTTACGCTTCCACACTTACACTTGAACATGAACATGAAGACTTACACTTGTATACGTATCCCAGTGTAAGTGGAAGAGTGAAAGCATCCAACGGCAAGTGTGAGTATGAAAAACTTGCACGGGAGATGTCCTAATGAAAAACATTTCCCCACTTTATAAATTCTCTCTTAAAGGCGGAGGGTGGGACGAACAGCGTCAACCGAAAATGCAACCCTCTGCGGAGATCGTGCGTGTCGAGTGCGCGAAATGCAGGCGAGAGCGCGATTTGTCACATTACCGCGCAACCCTCTGCGAGATCGTGCGTGTCCAGTGCGCGAAATGCAGGCGAGAGTGCGATTGGTGCGGTCCGCGCGCAACCTTCTGCGGAGATCGTGCGCGTCGAGTGCGCAAAATGCAGGCGAGAGTGCGATTGGTGCGGTCCGCGCGCAACCCTCTGCGGAGATCGTGCGTGTCGAGTGCGCGAAATGCAGGCGAGAGTGCGATTGGGGCGGTCCGCGCGCAACCCTCTGCGGAGATCGTGCGTGTCGAGTGCGCGAAATGCAGGCGAGAGTGCGATTGGTGCGGTCCGCGCGCAACCCTCTGCGGAGATCGCGCGTGTCGAGTGCGCGAAATGCAGGCGAGAGTGCGACTTGGGGAGCTGGAAGATGAGAACTGGCGATTTGCTAGTACAACTTTAGTGCGCGGGGCAATCTGTGGAGCTGGAAGCTGAGAACTGGCGACTCGCCAGTACAACGTTATTACGCGGAGCAATCTGTGGAGCTGGAAGCTGAGAACTGGCGACTTTGTA